CTCACCTAAATATACAGCACACAAAAGCACATGGTCAGTAGTGGCGCTTCGATGTTTAGATTGCTCTCCTGATGGAACATCCTGCGGTGAGCAGGGGAAGGACATCCCCTCATAGCCCTCGTAATCCTAAACTTTACATGCACCGTTTGTTGCACTCGCACAGCTCCTGTGATTCATAATTCCCGATTCAGCCGCAGGGAAACCCTGACATTTGCCTGGACGCCGGCCATGTTAGCGCTGCCCTTTGACCCGTGTCCTACTCATTTGAAATTATACTTTTTGCACGCTCTGTAGCAGGACATACTCAAACCCTTGTGAAAGAGAAGTGTGCTTAATTGTACTGGATGTGTACTTCAGACCTTAAAAGCATATTTTTTTAAAAACTGCACTTGCAGATAATATAACATTAACAAAATAAAAGGCCACTTAAGTCCACTTTCATCATTACATTTCTTGACACACTTAAGTACACTTTTAATAAGTGCATTTTGTAATAAAGTATACATTAATTAATTGCTTTAACAATCTTTTGACATGCTCAAAAGACGCATGCTTGTTTTGATATGCTGACTAACACAAAGTACAAATAAAATACTTGATTTCATTTTAACTGTAGTTAAACTGGCTGGAAACTTTAACCACATTTCAAAGACAATAGATGTAATTATGAAATTACATTTAAAGATGTATTTAAGTCCTACTTAAGTGGGTCAAAAAGCAATCTTATGTTCAACTGTTCAATAATCACAACAGTGTGATCGTATTAAATACATATGTAAACGGTATTATTCGGCTATTTTTGCCTTTTAGAAACTGCATTCAAAATCCACTTGGCTCGAAAATCTGAGGGGGCACGTGCCCTCTGGTAATAAGTGCTCTTTTTTTGTATGCTAAAAATGTACTTCATTTTCACAAGGAAACCCAAGGACCGTGTGTGCTTGGCGTACATTTGAAGCATGCCATATTCATATACTATGTTAATAATGGAATATTGTTAATTATGTTTAACAATCATTTAAAAATTGTATTTAAAAAAATTGTGTAACGTGTTTAAAACGGTATTTTGATGAGTTTGCAAATTATATTAAAATGAACAGCTAAAATATGATCACAATAAAAAAAAATTACGGAGGTGAGGGATTCTGTCCTCTATAGTCTATAGTGTGAGAGTAGGTAGCTGAGCAGACACACACACACACACACACACACACACACACACAGGAGAGCCTCCGAGAGCATCTGGCTCTCTTATGTAAGCGCTGCAGCTCTGTTTATGTCGATCTCTCTCTCTGTTCCCATCAGCACGTGTTGCTCTGGGCCTGCGGGAACAGTGCAGCGCTGCCACCTGCTGGACAAACGCAGTATGGTGTTTTAGCTATATTATACGGATCAGCGACGTAAACAGTACCAAATATGCAGTGTAATTCTATTAACCAATGTCTTTTCTTCTGACCTTCGATGATCCAGTTCAACCGTACTAATAAGCCAAAATTACTCTAGACGAACATTTGTGTCTTTTTTTTTTTTATTGCTGAAGTGTTGAAATTTCTTCTGCATTCTACTGAACGGACGTAAATTTACTTTCCCTTCAGCCTGAGGTTTATTCATTTCACTTTTGGCGTCAAAAGGCTTTTATATTTGCCAAAAATAGAACTGTTTTATTTTAAAAACAAACAAGCAAGCCCTGTCCAGATTTAAAAAGTAACTGAAAAGTAACGTAACATTACTTTCCATAAAAAGTAACTAAGCCACGTAATTAGTTACTTTTTTTTTATGGAGTAACGCAATATTGTAATGCATTACTTTTAAAAGTAACTTTCCCCAACAGTGCAAATATGTAATGCCAAACGAAAAACATTTGATTAAAGTCAAACATCGAAATTAATTTATTAGTCTGAAGCGCATATAGGCCCCACAATACTGATGGTTTAGATACCAGAGGGTGTCAGCAGAAAGTTATCAAACCGATTTCTGTAAATAAATCAACCAGGACTGATGTTTTAGATCGAAACTAATTAATACCACAAAACTAATCAGAGCTACTGTCAATCATTTTAAATGTCTATTGTTCAATTTTATAAATGATGAATTTATAACATTTTTAACTAGGCCTACATTTAAAAAATGAATTAAATAAACAGTTAGAAATGTTTCCATTCACTTGCCCATTTAAAAACAAATTTATTTCCATTTTGTTTTCTATTTTTTATAGTATCACTCCTAGTCCTCCATATGAATATATACTGACAATATATTCTATATTGTCAGTATACTGAATACTGACAATATAGAAAAGTCTATGAAATAATTACCAATATTAATATAATTATTACCAAAAATAGATTATTTTAAACATTTAATTTACTTTATATATTTACTTATTTATTTTAATTACAAATTAGAAAACCTGGATTATCTAGTTTTTGATTTTGAAAATTAACTAATTTTCAACTTCAAAAATTGAGTTTAATATTTCCCTGAACATATTGAGACATTTAATTTGGGACATGAAATTAAAGTAATGCGTAACAGGAAAGACTACAGAAATGGTTTGAATGGATCATTAAAAAGACAAACCTTTTTGTGAATGAGACATCACAACGTGAACATATGAACACAGAGGATAAAATCAAGACAGAAGGTGAATTCCCATGAAATTGTGTTTAATAGAGTTTAAAAATAAGGCTATGATGCAGTTTTAGCAAACTTTTGACAAGAAAAACACAGTAATGACAAGCTGTGGCACACACACAGCCAGTCCAGTAAGATTTAAGGGAAATAGCGACAACACACACACACACACACACACACACTCATCCAAACTCGGTAATATTTCTTAATCGTCTCCACACACACTCGCACATATACACACAACCACCCAAAAAGGTGGCCATAAACAAAGTTGAACGAACAAACTGCAGTGTAGCCTACTTTAAAAAAAACATGCATAGCTTAATACAATAAAGGTGTATTTCCGAATGACCCACGGAGGTTATGCGGTCTAATACGGTCAACATTATTAGTCAGTTCCTTCAACATGAAAACATCGCTTCTCAAAGGTTTCTGATGTAAAACAAAACAATATCGTCCTTGTTCACAAACATGTAAAAAGTTACATTCTGAACCGCAACGTTCATTGTGAAAATAAATACTTGGAATGGCAACGACAATGATATAAAGATCCCCTTTATGTGTCAGAATTGAAAAGAAACGGACCAAATGCGCCCAAACCCGACCCATTTGCACATAAAAAGTCAAATATCATGTTGCATTGGTTTCAACAGACATCTACAATAAAAGTGTCGTACGGACCAGATACAAAAAGAGCGCAAGACTCTGATTAGAATTAGAAAACTCGACACACTCGAACCCACGCCTGGGACATACAATACAGACAAAACCGACATTTAATTATCTGAGATGCTTAGTGCTGAAGCAAACAAAACTAAATCTGACACAATACAAATCATTTATTATACAATCCCTGTCCATTTTTTTTAACTAACATTATTTTGTCCGTTTCTGTCCATTCAAGAGAATCACAGAAAAGCGAAAAGCCTTGGCAATGTAAAATATTCGACAACTAGGCTGTTTAGTGCTTGTTATTTGTTCTACGTTTCATCCTTTGGTAAAAGGGCGGATCTTCTCAACTGCTATAAACCAGAAATTAGGTATGTCTACTGTACGTTCGGTACTGTCTTTAAAGTGCCAGCGAGCTCTAGCATGAGGGAAGCCTGAATTACTAGAGCTCCTATGATACAGGCAGGGTTGCCAGGTTTTCACAAGAAAACTCACCCAATCGCTACTCAAAACTAGACCTATCGCGTTTCGAGGGGGTTCCCAGTTAATAATCGCGTTCAGGGGATAAATATCATGTTATTGGAGTCGCTTCAACCCGCGGACATGAAAAACAACCCGCGGCAACAGTGTCAAAGTAGCCCAATTCCGCGGGAAAACCGCGGACTTGGCAACACTACAGGACTCATGCAAGCGCCAAATACACGCGTACAGACGCACAACAAACACCATGCCGTAAGGTGCTGAGACCAGATCTACGCAGTACAGATAGCAAAAATAGCTCTGAGTTTCTATATACATGAACTACACGATGCTACCACTGCCATAGTGCACAGAGAAACCTCCGATCAGTTCTGTGGAGAACAAAAACACACAAATCAAGCAGCTTACATTAAAAAAAAAAACATTTCCCTAAAGTAATGTTGTAATGTAAACGGTTAAAGGAGTAGTTCACCCAAAAATTAAAATTTGCTCAAAATGTACTCATCCTCCATGATGTAGATGAGTTTGTTTCTTCATCAGAACAGATTTGGAGACTTTCAGCATTTCATCACTTGCTCACCAATTGATCCTCTGCAGTGAATGGGTGCCGTGACTGTTGGAAATGTATATTATTAAAGTCAAAAGTGTGTGTGTGTGTGAATATATATATATTTATGTATGCATGTATGTATGTATATATATATACACACACACACACACACACACACACACGTGTATATTTAAAAAAATATTTGCATGCATATATATATATATATATATATATAGATATAAAAATATAAATATTTTATATATAAATTATAAATATATAACATGTTTTTCCTTAATATATACATGTGTGTGTATTTATATATACACATAATAAATATACACAGTACACACACGTAGTATGTAAAAAAACTTTTATTTTGAATGCGATTAATTGTTTTGCAGCCTTAGAAATGTTTCTTAAGCAGCAAATCAGTATATTTTTATGATTTCTGAAGGATCATGTGATGCTGAAGACTGGAGTAATGATGCTGAAAATCCAGCTTTGCATCACAGGAATAAATTACATTTCAGCATATATTAAAATAGAAAAGAGTTATTTTATTTTTATTTTATTATTTTTCATAATATTCATTTTTACTGTCATTTTGAATATGAATGTGACAGGAGCCCTTTATGAATGAACTGCAGAATGTGCACAATTACATGTTTACATTATGAAACATGCAGATATGCCATCTGCTGGAGAGATGTCTTACTGAAGCTCTTACCGATCCTAAAGTCGATGTATCCCTCTCCTCCGCTCATGATGAGCATGCTCTTGCCGTCTGGGGCTGAAGAGTCAGAGTTCTCAGTCGTACCTTCAGCTCCGGGCACAATAACCTGACCTGAAGCACATCGTTAACACGTTAGCACAGATTTGCACTTCACCAGCCATTATATCAAACACCACCGCTTTAAAACAATATGCTCAACACATTCTGTAGGAGCCAGTGTATGAGTAACCACACAGTTGCTTGTCCCCATTGACTTCTAAAGTATCAGGTTTGGACAACTTACAAAATCATGCTCTAAACCAGACCTTTCGTGAAGCTGACTTCATCAATCATGAGGCCTCCCCATCAGTCTCTATAATCAATACTGAGGCACTGTGTTACTATGTCTTACCTGGAACAGTAGCGAAGAATTTAACTGCGTCTCTGTGGCCGTGGAAGCAGAGCTGAGCGTGTGCCATGGAGCAGTAGGGTACATACGAACCCGTCATTGCACCATCCACAGTATCATCGCCGTACACTCGCACCGCCCCACCTGGACGACAGGCAATCGCTCCTACAGCCTTATGAGCTGCTGGGGAAACAAAAAGATGCTTAACCATAAGTGTGAGTGTCTAAAGCGTTTAATAGAGCACCAAAGACACAGTATCTCGCAGAGCAAATGCCTGTCAAATTCAATTGCGAAATTACTGGGAGACACTCATTAATATTAAAGCATTAAAGCAAATTTTGGCTAGATGCAGATTCACTGTTGATCAGCCCAGAAAGATGGAAAACAGTCAAGAGACTGGAAGATCTGAGAGGAATTAAGAACTTGCAGATGAAATATTGAACAAAGCTGAGCAAGATGAAGAATTTAACTGCGTCTCTGTGGCCGTGGAAGCAGAGCTGAGCGTGTGCCATGGAGCAGTAGGGTACATACGAACCCGTCATTGCACCATCCACAGTGTCATCGCCATACACTCGCACCGCCCCACCTGGACGACAGGCGATCGCTCCTACAGTCTTATGAGCTGCTGGGGAAACAAAAAGATGCTTAACCATAAGTGTGAGTGTCTAAAGCGTTTAATAGAGCACCAAAGACACAGTATCTCGCAGAGCAAATGCCTGTCAAATTCAATTGCGAAATTACTGGGAGACACTCATTAATATTAAAGCATTAAAGCAAATTTTGGCTAGATGCAGATTCACTGTTGATCAGCCCAGAAAGATGGAAAACAGTCAAGAGACTGGAAGATCTGAGAGGAATTAAGAACTTGCAGATGAAATATTGAACAAAGCTGAGCAAGATGCAGCAAAGAAGCAAAGCAATACAGGTTTGTCTCAGAATTAGCCTGCTGTCAACAGTGTTTCCCACTCACCCCTCTGACCTAGATATCCACACTGACCTACAGCTACAGGAGACAAGAAAGACAAGAAAAAGGAAGACAGGAGGGGTAAAACAGAGAGAAGTGGCCAAAGAGACTGAAACTAATGCTGCCTTCTACATCAAATACTGATGTACGCGTGTTTGCGTGTGTGATATTGGCTTACAGGCTGATAAAGGGATGGAGATGATGACACCATTTCCTGTTCCCACCCACAGCCGGTTACAGGAAACCATCAGAGCCGTGATCCTCACAAAAGAGAAGCCCAGTTTTCCCGTTCCTGTTAAAGACACGAGCAAGTGCATTCAATTGTTTATTTATTCAAAAGCGTAATATGAAAGAGCTCAAATCTTATTTCTTGTATTTTGCCAACATATACCAACATTCAAAGGTTTGGGCTCGGTAACACTTTTTTTTTTTTAAAGAAATGTATACTTTGATTTAGCGAGGATACATTCATTTGATAAAAAGTGACAGCAAAGGCATTTATAATGTAACAAAAGATTTCTATTTCAAACAAATGTTGTTCTTTTAACTTTCTATTCATCAAAGATTCCTGAAAGGTTTCCAAAAAAAAAATATTAAGCCGTTTTCAACATTGATAATAATAATAGATGTTTCTTGAGCAGCAAATCAGCATATTAGAATGATTTCTGAAGAATCATGTGACACTGAAGACTGGAGTAATGATGCTGGAAATTCAGCTTTGCATCACAGAAATACATTACATTTTAACATATATTAAAATAGAAATAGACAGTTATGTTATTAATAGACAGTTCACCCAAAAATGAAAATTTGATGTTTATCTGCTTACCCCCAGGGCATCCAAGATGTAGGTGACTTTCTTTCTTCAGTAGAACATAAACAAAGATTTTTAACTCAAACCGTTGCAGTCTGTCAGTCATATAATGGAAGTGAATGGGAATCACGGCTTTGAGAGTCAAAAAACATACACAAACAAAACCAAATTAAACCCTGTGGCTCGTGACGATACATTGATGTGTAAAGACACTAAATGATCGGTCTGTGCAAGAAACTGAACAGTATTTATATAGTTTTTTACCTCTGATTCAACGCAATGTCCGAACGGTCTCAACAGCCGGCACGTGACGCGTCTTTTTTGCTTTACGGCGGATCGCAGACTTATAAGTGCATTACCGCATAATATAATATAATATAATATAATATAATATAATATAATATAATATAATATAATATAATATAATATAATATAATATAATATAATATAATATAATATAATATAATATAATATAATATTATAATATATAATATAATATAATATAATATAATATAATATAATAAATAAATATGAGAGGTGGTCCCCATGAACCTAAAACCATATATTCACAGTATTCTCACCTAACATTTTGCTGACATAAGGTTCAATGTCCACGTCCTGGAGATGCTGGAAGGTGTGAGCGTGGAAGAGGCGGAGGGTGGAGTCTAGCCGGATGGACACCCAGATACCGTCACCCACCCAGGCCAGCTGACGCACCTGACTCTCCTTACGCGGGTGGGCGTCAAAAGACTTCTGTTTCACACAGAGAAAAATCACAACACACTGTAAAGGATCCCGCTTAAGCAATTCCATCCAATTCTATCTAATACGGAATGCAACACATTTCCTAAAATGCAAAAACTAATACAGTGAAGATTAAGACATAATTATGAACCTCTATTTTCATTGCTTTGGGCTGAATCACATAGATCTTGTTTCTGTAGCCGCACCACACTTTATCATGCACGATGGTCATGCAGCGGATTGAGTGATGCGGCCGGCCGAGGTCCAAGAGGTGGTAGTTGGTTAAATCCCACTGGCTGTCTGTAAAAGCAGAACGAGGATGGTTTTAACAATTAAAGTCAAACTGAGAGGAGTATCTGAATTATTAGTGAACTGACAGTGTCTTACCAAGACCTCTGTGAAAGATGGCCAGTGTACCGTCAGCCAGAGCCACCAAAACACGGCCCTTCACATGTCTGTGTAGAGAAATAATGGTAAAGATCACTAGAACTCATGTTTGCTACAGTGGTTTCTTTTGATTTCAACGGAATATTGAATGAAAGTGCTATTGAATAAAAGCATAGCTACTTTAACAAGTTATGTGTTCTACTGAAGAAAGAAAGTCACCTACATCTTGGATGCCCTGCAAAAATGCTTCATTTTTGGGTGAACTATCCCTTTAAATTGTAATAATGTTTCACAATATTGATGTTTTTTTATCATATAAATGCAGACAAAAATATTTTTTTAAATCTTACCGACCCCAAAATCTTGTACAGAAGGAAGTATGTGACATAAGGGTGAAGAAATGATGACATTTTATTTGTAAACTAACCATCTGGCTGCATAAACTGAAATCCCACTAAAAAAAAAAATATTTCAAAAGTTACACTGTATTCTTGAGTTTCAACTTACACAATATTCAAGATGGAATCCTTCAGCTTGACAGCATGAAGACACTTCCTCCATCGAGCGACAGATGAGTGCACGTATAAACTACATGAAAGACATTTGCCAATGAGAAAAGTTAAACTCTCAGATTGCAAAACACTGATTTTGGCTTTATCCTGAATAAAACAATTTAACAGCCAGTGTTCTCGATAAATGTAACTTTTTAATACGGTTTCATGTCACTGGAAAACTTTTGGGGATCGTCTTTAGTGAGAATAATGCAAAAAGCACAAAAAAAAGCTACAGAGAAGAAAGATGGCGCGGCTCTCCAGGAGGCTTAAACGAGCAATGAAGCTGGATTAGCGGTGCAAGTTAGCACTGATTTTGGCAGTTTGTATAGAAGACCTTTCAGTTTTTCTGTGTGTATTTGACAATAATCAAAAAGATCTGGAGATGAAGTTCATGTAGAGTTCCTTCATATAGTGAGACGACAGATGCTGAAAACACCATGAGCGTCACGCATGCTCGAGGATGTGTAGTAAATGAAACCAGCTGCTCATTCTCACAGAGAGACACAGAACAGGCAGACTGAATATTTAAAATGAAGTCACAGATGCAAGTTCATATTGCAATTAAAATTGTATTAACTGTGCGGCTCTACTTTTAATTAGTCAGATTCTGTGACATTCTGAGTTTTACAGTATCATTCCATCAGCGTTTTCTGCATCATGGAAATCAAAGGGCCCTATTTGACTTACCACAAATTTCAAGTTGACAAAAAGACTCCAGGAAACAGGTTGTCAAACTGAGATCGAAAGACAGTATGGCAAAAAGAAAAAAAACATACTACTATCCCTGACAGACCTATTTCCTTTCATAAATTATGGTGTTTAACAAAGTCTGTTGTGGCCAGATGCTGTTATGTTTGTGTATTTGTGTGCATGTATCTCACCAGCCGTTCTGAGCCCCCAGCCACATGGTGGGCAGCACGCTGCTCATCCGTTGGATCTCTTCTTTTGCCAGATTCGTCTTTCCACCTTCTGAGGCCGTATCGTCCCTGTCCTGATTGGACTCCCTGACAAGGAACCCAACCAAGGATGAGTTCCCATCCACATCTGGATATAAATCAGCAGTGATAAAGATACTGTGCCCAGCTCACCTCTGGTTATCGTTGCCTGTTGAAGGCCCAGAAGACTCTGCTCCCAGTGGGTCTGTAAACACGTGCTCCGTGTAGATTCCTGGCTGGCTGGTGTCCTGTCCCGGGCTCTCCTGCTCTTCCTCAGTGGCCTCCATAGCCTCCTCTGCTGCAGGGAGCCCATCTTCACTGGGAGCTCTGGAGAGATCTACAACAAGAGAGACTTCTGTCACGTTTACTTTTAACCCTATAAAGCCTGCTGTATCATATTTGATACGCAAATTTCTAGGGTCTTTGAGTTATCAACATGATCAAAACTTGAAAAACTTGTCAACTGACTGACAAGTAAAGGGCCTTTTAGCATCATTCTGAAAGCGTCTATCTTCAGGTTGTGCTTCACGTGTCTTTTTGCTGTGAAAAGCTTTTGAGGGACGTTAATTTGTTCAACTCTCATTCATTATTGTCTTGCATTTCATTATATGTTTTGCCCCACAATAAAAACTACAGGGGGCGTGGCGATGCAGGCTACCGAGTAAGCGGTATTTGTCTTAGTTGTTAAAACTTAAGCCGCGTTCACACCAAGAACGATAACTATAAAGATAACGATATTAGCATCCACACCAGCGAACAATATCGTCTGTTTATTCTAAGCGCACGTGCATCTGCCGCTTTAAATTCTCGAGCTCGTCACAGCAGGATTGGTTCTGATTGGCTGTCAATGTTTTTATCGTTTATCAGCTGGAAAAAATCGTTCTCATGTTGACATTTTTTTGTTTTTGTTTCTTTGGCATGTATGCTTTGAATGTTTGTAGTTTTGTATATAGTTGTGTTCAGACGAAGACCACAGAAGTTTAAACTAAGGTTATTTAAAAAAAAAAAAATTTTTTTTATAAAAAAATTACTTTATTCAACAATTCGTCTCCTCCGCGTCACCCTGTAGCGCCATTTTGGAGGGTATCTGCTGGACGTAAACAGCGTATGCTGTTTTGTGTCAGCTGCGTCACGCCGGATCTGTTTCCTACGTTGTTGTGATTTGATCTGAACGAAAACAGCATATCCGTTTTCCGGAGGGCAGATGCCCTCTGGCCTGTCTCCCGTTTGTGATAGATGTTAAAAAGATTTCTGGTCTAGGGCAGAACAGTATTATTAGTAACACATTATGAGTGTGGAAATTAATCAGGGATTGGAAAGGGAAAGCCAAAACTTTGTCGTCTATTACTCCAATACAAGGAAATTTAGATTTTCAGCCTGGAATGATGGACAATGGTTTCACATTCTGGAAAGACGTTGGTATAACCACTATAAAAGATCTATTTGAAAAGGCGGTGCTGTTATCATTTGAACAATTGAGAGCTAAATTTAAGTTACCCCAAATAAAGAGCTTTGTGCAGAAACATACCATACCTGGATTTTCTTCTTGCCCCACTCCAACAGAGCAAGTGCTCCTGGATAACAGATCTTAAGAGGTCACTAATAAAGCGATGTTATGAAGTTATGAAGCTCTTTTGAAAGGAACAAAAGGCAATAATGAGGCAACCCTAGCTATTTGGGAGCAAGATTTGGGGCTGTCAATTGATGTAGATACTTGGACACAAAATTGGCAGTATGTTGACAATATATCAATTTGTAATAGAACTAAAGAACTACAGTTCAAACTTTTACAGCGTCTCCAAATTACTCCATTACGCAGGCACAAATTGAATCCAAAAAAAAGAGGGTGACTTTATTCACAGTACTTGGAAATGTGTAAATATTAAAGCTTATTGGGTACAAATCTGTAGGAGACTAACTCTGATATTTACCGGTAATATAGGATGTGACATCAATCCACTTTATTTATTGTTAGGTGTTGCTGATAAGAATATAAAGAGCATTTCAGACAGGAAGTTGTTTAATCTTCTTACTTATGCTGCTCGTAAGAGTATTTTACTTAAATGGATCTCTGATAAACCGCCGACAGTGTCGGAGTGGCATAAAGTAATATTTGATTTTCTTTCATTGGAATATGTTACCTACTGGTCAAAAGGGAAAATGGATGCGTTTTATCAGATATGGACTCCTTTCTTTAAGTATGTAGGTCCCAGGATTTCACATACCTTTTTGCAAAACCTTGGCTTTCTGACTATTATTTAACTGATCAGAAGTTAAACTTCAAACAGCTCATCCAAACAAAATTCAGAGTCTAGACTATTGCTTCTATGAAGAGTTGTCAAAATTACATGACCTCACTGATCTTTAAGACAATTCTTACCACTTCCTCTGGCTGGACTCTGTTCTGCTGACTGTTCGTTGGCCCCTGTGCTGCCCGTCTGAGATCCTGTGCTGGACTCTTCAACACTGCAGCCCACCGCTGACACGTCACTCAACGCACCCTCACTGCCCTGAGAGCTGCTGCTGGCCAATAAAGCGTCTGGCCCCGCCTCCAGGTCCTGAGGAATCTCCTCCCCTGCAGGATAGTCTGTCTCCAAGACTCCTGGAAATCACAATAAAATACATGAACAACATTACTGGGATTATTTACATTTAATGCCATTGTCATTAGTTTCCTAAAAGTGAAATGCATTAATGATGTGAAGTATTTCTCCACTCCCATTTCCATTTGATACCAAGACGCCCAATCGCAACGTGTGACAACAAAGGCAAGTGTACATTTATAGAGGCTATTGGTTTTGCCACATCAAACATTGACTATACTGCCTTTCAAATGTCTGAAAAATTGCATGCAACAAAACATATGCGCTCACTTACAGAAATTCAGCTTGATCATTTCAAGTGAAGCAAAAATATTGTGTTCTAAGTTTCTCTGGTGTCTCAGTCTAAAGCGCTATCTAGTGCCATTTGTCACAGAATCATTAACAATGATCTACAATTAACATGTTCCAAATTAAATATTAAACAACAGGTTCTTAGATTACCTAGTGATTTTTCTTGAAATTTTGAAGGGGGTTTCAGTACAATGTGCGGCTGCACAATTAATCTTCTGGGGAACACAACATGCACCAGGTTTACTTTATTTCCACATTTACATAACGTACAATGTTTTTCTTGAGGCAAGGTTACAGTATTTCACCAGATATTGAAATGAGAAATGTTTATAAACCTGTGGTCAACTAAACATTATTTTACTTTTTACTTTTATTTTGCAGTTTTCTGCCAGAAAGAAGATTTAAATGCTGGGAAGTGAAGAAATAAAGATACAAAAATATTAGCATCGTAATTTTACTATTGTAGTAAATGAAATTATTAATATAATTGATATTATTTTTTTCAGTACAATTAACTACAATAGTATTATAAAAAAGTTTTAATTAGTCTTTTAGAGTTACAATAAAAAAAAAAATAATAATTTATTTATTGGTTTACTAAAATGTGTGAATATAATATGGACTGAGACACTATCACAACTAAAATGAGTTTTGAGCCATATTTCAACAAACAAAGTGAATGCAAAGAGACTTCTACTCCATTAAGTTTGGACACTTTTTAAGTTTTAAAAACAGAGTAACTATTTCTATTGAAATCAAAGTGTGGTCAGTCTGTTCTTTTTGCCTGGATGTCTCAGCAGCATCAATATAAAGATGTTTTCATGAAATGTTTATCATAACGCAGCTCAAATCATCAATCAGAATGTATGACAAAATCACAATAGAATTTTTTGGCCAAATCACACAGTTCTAAAGATATCAATAATCTGTAATAACTGCATTTTGTATTAGTTTATCGAGATGTAATGATAAACTATTTATGCCCATGACTGAAAGAAACATGACAAAGATGAAGTGATAGATTACTGTTATGAGGGGTGTAGATTTCTGACCTGGTACGCTGGCGATGCACAACACACATGAATTACAGACGTAGAAGCTGTCGAGCAGGTCATCGGGCCGCGTCACATCCATGATCATCACCTTTGTGGAGGAGTGTGTGCTCGTACAGATCCAAACGCGACTGGACATCTCCACATGCACTGTCTGCTCCCACTCCTGCTCCTGTCAACACACACAATATCACTGCATGAAGAACCAATGCTGCCTATGAATGTTGTCTTTATGTGGGTCTGATCCATTTTTATACATCACAATGAGAATCCATCATGAGAATCCAAGCCTAGTTGAAACGACCACTTTTTTAGTTTTTTATTTTGTGAAAGTCCACTTACAATGTTAGTCAAGATTTCTTACATCAAACCAGTCTTTTATGACAATTTTGCACACTCTCTCTGATTTATAGGTCTGTGCCATTGTGCCTTTCATGGCTTCTATATGTAAATGAACTTTATTATAGTTTCTTCGCATTTCAAATAATTCAAATTTAAATACTGAACAGGGTATGTAAATGTGGGTGGTCATATGCTAATGAGCTCATACATATGATTATTGTGTTCAAATACGACTACTTTCTACATCAGCTCTTTTACTTCAAACAAGTCCATGTTTTCCACAATATGACTATGGAAATCTTTTACCTTAGGTTCCTGCTCCAGCTGATCTAGGCTGCTCTGGGAGTCTTTCCTCTGTTTGGAGGCGTCGGTCTCCACCGCAGACTCTTCTCCAGAAACGCCAGAGCTTCCCTCACATGAGCGTCCACCTGACAGGTTCACTCCAGCTGCACACAGGAGCTGCACAGGGGAAATCAGCAGAAATATTAGAGGCTGAAAACAGCCTGAATTCATATTGGTGAGACTTCATAAACCTATTTCGTATTTTCTTAAACAGAACTACTGAAGTATGGCAACAAAACAGTTGATTTCAATTATGATTTTAATTTATTCATCTTTCTTCACCTTCATAGAAGCATCTTTCTGCTCCAGTGGCCTGAGACAAACAGGAACAGGAAGGTTTATTTTGTTCTCTGCATGGCCACCATTAGCAACCTAAAAAGAACAGGATAACAGTACAATTATAGATGATTTTTATTAAATGTAGAAAATGTGGAATTAATAAAATATAATGTTGCAATGTTACAAATAGTTCTTAAGTGCAAGATAATAGTACAATTTGAAAATATGGAATAAATAAAATAAAATATAACAACTTAAAAATAAAACAAACAACAAAGTAAAATAAAATAAAACAAAAATAAATAAAATGTTACACTTTTTCAAAAAGTATAGATTGGAGTACAATTATAGATAGATATTTTATAAAAAAAAAAGATCAGTAGAAAATGTGGAATTAATAAAATAAAATATAACAACTTAAAAATAAAACAAACAAAAATAAATAAAATGTTACATTGTTTTTCAAAAAGTATAGATTGGAGTACAATTATAGATAGATATTTTATAAAAAAAAAAGATCAGTAGAAAATGTGGAATTAATAAAATAAAGTAAAACAAACAAAAAATGTAAAAGAAAAAAATAAAATAAATAAAATGTTACAGGACAATTAGATATTTTACAAAAATGTCTGATCAGGTACTGAAGATGGTAGAAATTAAAAATAAAAAACACAAAACAGTAGCACTGTGATTTGCTTAGCTGCCTGCTGTACTAATAAATATATTATAATACTGAACCTATAAAATAAAATAAAATTAAATTAAATTATTTTTATTATGTATAATCATATGCACATAACAGCATTGTGACTTGCTTGGCTGCTGTACTAATAAATATAATTCTGGATAAAAAAATAAATTAAAATAAAATAAACAGTAAAATAAAATATTGTATTGTATTGTGTTGTATTGCATTGTGTTGCATTGTATTGCCTTGTATTTTCCAGGGAGACTCCAGCCATGTGCTGTAACCCTGCCGTCCTCCTTCTGCACGTGGGCTTTCACATGCTCGTATTGAGCACGCTTCTGCTCCCGGCGGGACAGAGAACCACTCGAGTCCACCCTGATGGAAAAATTCAAGAAAAAAAGTGAAGACGCGTGATGAATTATGTAATGCTAATTAACACTTTGGTGTGCTGTGTGACGCCAGACAAGAATATCTTCATATTCTGGATTTACATGGATTTCAACTGGTGGGTCTTGATACCAAAACACTGTATGTGAAAATACAAAGCTAAACGCATATTATAAAATGCAACTACTTATATAATACTTGACACAAATACATGCATTTCATGTAAATATTAATCAGTTTCAAGTTCTGATTTTAGGAACATTTTGGTTTCACTACATCTTTGTTGCTGTATTGGTTTGCCAATAATGCACATAAAAAAAATTGCATCCTGAATTTTATTTTACTTAAAAACTTAATATGTTTGACAAGGTTAAATAGAGGAGTTACTCTTCTTTGAGGAAGTCGAACGCTTTGGACTTTTCTCTTGGGAACTGGGAGAAGGTGTTGCTCTTTTTCATGATGCTGGGTGGGTTGTACTTGACGTTGGACGGTAAACCTCTCGCTGTGTTGCTGGACGCTGAGGAACTGAACAGGCGACTGAAGCTGAAACAGGACATAGACAGAGACGGGAGTGAAGAGCCCGAGCTCACATTTGTGATCTGTGTGACTAGCAGTTGAGATGAGGTCTTACAATTGCCTGATGCTTGACCTCTTCTTCTCTGCAACTTCAGAGTTTTCCCTTGAAGCTCTGTGGAAAAACAAGACACATCACTGTAGGAGAGCCGAGAGCAAGCAGACAGTCTCCATGTGGCGGCGTGGGGTTTTTGTTCAAGAGCCAGAAAAACTGCCCTACTTTCTTGGACAATTAGTTTGAGAACAGATCTCAAGCTGAGCGTAAAAAAGCACTGAAGACAGCAGAAATAAACAAACAGTAACATCGTCATTAAAAATGTGATTTGCTTGGCTGCTGCACTAACAATTATATTGTAATTCTAGACCTATTAATAAAATAAAATAAAATAATAAAATAAAATAAAATAAAATAATGCTCATAACCATCTGAAATTAAAAAAGGATAGAAAAGAGCCACTGTTTTCTATTTTGGACTGTAGAGCAAATTAGAGCTATCCTTTCTTCACAGTACCGTGTTACAGTTAAATGTTTACCGGATCATTTCCGTCCACCTGACGGCCTCCTGCAGCTCCATCAGTCTCTCCTTGTACTGGTTTCGCTCCATCAGGACTCGGGCCATCTCCACCCGCGTGAACCTCCTCCTCTGAGCTGTGGGCACATCGCTCTGCGGACACGGAGTTACATACTGTATACCATTTGAGCATAACAATTATTATTTTAACATGTATTAGTCAATGCATGTTGTTTTAAATAAAATAATGTAATATGGTGAACTAGAAAATAAATAGTTTATCTAAGAATGTATTTTGAATATGTATTGGAGAGTAAGGGTAACATTTACTGTTGCAAACAGCTTCACACAAAGCTATCACATGACTTCAGAAGACCTGTTTAAATGCTTAGAGCTGGTAAGATTTTTCTAAAGTTTTTGAAAGAAGTCCCAACAGTAAAAACAGTAATACTCTGAAATATCATTACAATTTAAAATAGCTGTTTTCTATTGCTTTATTCCTGCATCATTACTCCAGTCCTCAGTGTCACATGACCCTTCAGAAGACCCTTTCTTCTTATTATCAATGTTGAAAACAGTTGTGCTGCTTAACATTTTTGTGAAAATCATGATTTTTTTTTTTTCAGGATTCTTTGATGAATAGAAAGTTTAAAAGAACAGCATTTAGTTGAAACAAATGTCTTTTGTAACAATATAAATGAAAGCACTTTCATTCTGATCAATTTAATGCATCCTTGCTGTATATCAAATTATTGATTTTATGTCGTATTAATCTCACTGACTCTTATATTTATTGTGATACGTAAATATTAATACTCACCTCATCTTCCTCTTTATTATTGTTCTGTTTGGCCACCTCTGCCTCTGCTTTCACTCTGTGTTATGAAATATTCTTATGAGTCCCTCATTTTCAGTGCAACTGTACAATCTAGTAACACATTTAATTACACAGTCCAAATAGCAATAGCTTCTCATGAAAAAAGACGCACATTAATGTGATAAACCACCTGTGGCTATTAACCTGAATACGTCATGTTTGATTTATTTTCAAATTCAGCTACTAAGGCATGATAACTAGAGCCGGAACAACTGCATATGAATGCATCCCTCAGGCGTTTTTGTATTATTTGGTCGAAACAAGGACTCACTTTTTGAGTTCCTCCTCCAGCTCCTTGTTTTTCTCCTCTAGTTTAGCTTTGGCCTGCAAAACCGCATCCAGCTCCCCCTGAAGGACCTCCTTCTCACAGGAGAGCTCGTCCACACGAGCGATCAGATCGTTCTTCACCACGTTCAATGCATTTCTGTGCACACAAACAAGTCGTCTCAACAACTAAGCAACATAAACCAGTAAATAAACTGTAAAGAGTTACAATATTACTCACTTTGTCTCAAGCAACTGCACATTTTCCTGAATGAGATTCTCCACCTCACGACCCATGCCTGCAGAATACATCACAAAAAACTCTAATAACACTACAACCGAGGCAAACTGATGACAAAGCAATAATGTGATGATAATAAAAACACTATTTAAAGGGGTCATATGATGCACCAAGAGCTTGTAACACTCCAAAGAGAAAGGAAAAATTGAAATCGCATCATATGACCCCTTTAAAGATTCAAAACTTTGGAGATGAGTTTTATGTGCCCTGTGTTTTCAGGTTAGACAGGCCGTATGAATGGTCTTACCAGACAGACTCGGGTGTGAAAGCGCATGCACTGTGTGTGTTCGACAGAGAGACAGACACATGGAGAGTGAAACAGGAATGGACAGCTGTGAGGTGAGAGTTAACAGGTCACAGAAAAACCAAGAGATGCTGGAAAG